TGGAAGAAATTTTCTGTGTCTATTATACACAGTCTTTTTTCCATGCTTCAATTGTAGAAAACTTGTATCTTCCTCACAAATAGGACAAGCATGATGACCCTTGACACTATATCCACTCAAGTTTCCATATGCTGGGAAGTCATTGATAGTAAAAAATAACATTGCATGTAACTTGAAGCTTTGTTGTTGATATGCATCAAACACATCCACTCCTTCCTCCCACAATAGTCTTAAGTCATCTATTAACGGACTTAGATAAACATCTATGTCATTACCCGGCTGTCTTGGACCTGCAATCATGATGGATAACATCACGTACTTGCGCTTGAAAATCAACCATTGTGGAAGGTTGTAAATCACTAAAAGAATTGGCCATGAGCTGTGATTACTGGTTAAGTTACCAAAAGGATTCATGTCATCTGTGGCTAGTCCAAGTCTAAGATTTCTTGCATCACTGCCAAACCTTGGAAATAGTCAGTCAATTTTCTTCCATTGTGGAGAATCGGCCGGATGACAAAGCAATCCATCACGTTTTTGTGCAGTTGAATGCCATATCATATTCTTGGCATCTTCTCCATTGGCAAACAATCGCTTAAATCTTGGAATTATTGGAAGATACCATATAACTTTTGCAGGAGGTCTCTTTCTATCAATATATTCGCTAATATCATCCCTGTCTTTCAATTTGTAACACGATACACCACATCTTGGACACTCATGTAGGCTTTCAAACTCTTTTCTGTATAATACACAATCATTAGGGCAAGCATGTATCTTTTTATACTCTAAACCCATTGGACAAAGTATTTTTTTGGCTTCATACATACGATCAGGCAATGTGTTATTGCTTGGGAGCATATCTTTCAAAACTTCTAGTAACTCAGTGAAACTTTTATCACTCCAACCAAATTTGGCCTTCAAATTGACCAATCTCAATACAGCTGACAATCGCGTGAATGTTGTACATCCAGCATACAGAGGTATCTCTGAATCTATCTTCAATTTATCATAGACAGGAGCATGTGCTTGCAGAAAATTCTCTTGACCTACATCACGAATCATGTCTTCTATTCGATCTTCCATTGTCATATCCTCCTCTTCCTCAGCTTGTGTTACTATTGGTGTATCAATCATTTCATCATGCCATGTCCATACGATATAATTCTTCATTATCCCATCACATAAAATATGTTCCCGTATTGTCTCTAGTGTGTGTACTCTCCCATTAACGCAGTTAACGCATGGACAATATAATTTTCCATTAACCTTGGTGCCATTGTGTTCGGCAAATTGCAAAAATTCTTCAACTTCATTCTCATACTCTTGTGAAATATGACTTGCATTTACCCAACTTCGATCCATTTTGGAATTGGAGTCTACAAATGAGAAACCAATAAAATGATTAATACTAATAATCATTATCTCTAATGAAATCTATACAAAAGTATATTAATTTCTAACGAAAATTCAACAGAATTTCGTCTATTTTTTGGTCAAAACCAAATTTTTATAAATTGAAATTATAGAACCCCACAGGCACAATATCATACACAATTTATATCGTCACAATTTTGTTACTACCATCACTTATATAACTACATTGTTATATGTAGTTTTCACAATTCACACTTCATGATTAATTTCTAACCAAAATCCGGCAAAGTTTTCTTTGTTTTTTGGCAACAATTTTAAATGACACAGTGAAACCTGCCAATAAAAAGCCCCACGGGCATATTCAAGCAGTCCAAGTATAATTGTACACATCATCAATACATTGGAAAAAACTATATTCATCTTAATTTTAAAATTGTATCATTATTTGTCTTCACTTGAGAGTTTCACTGGAATGAGCTGAAACTTACATCCAATCACTATTTTATGGGGACAAAACGTATAAACAATTGAATCAACAGTTAACGGCCAACAATAATATGACTAAGAATCTCTACCTATGAATTGTAGTAAGTAAAATTTTATTACTTAAACTTTTTGCCCAACAAATATAAGTGCAAGAACATCGTACCTGTGGGTTAAGGCAACAATAAAAGTGCGCACCACAGAGAAAGAGAGCAACGTTAGGGTCGACGCTGCAGTGGGATGGAGGTGGAAGATGCAGTGCGGCATTAGGGTCGAGGCTGTGGTGGGCTGGAGGTGGACAATGCAGTGCAGGCGGAGGCTGCGGTGGGGGTGGAGGTTGGGCGACTAGCATCGCGGTGGGCTGGAGGGTGCGGTAAGGTGGAGGTTGTGGTGGGGTGGGGTGGAGGTGGAGGCTGTGATGCGACTGGAGTCTGCGGTGGACAATGCGGCGCCTACTGTCGCGGTAGGGTGGAAGTTGCAGTGGGGTGGATGTGGTGGCTCCGGCAGGGGTGTCACGCGCTCTAGGGTGTGCGGTGGCGACGTGAGGGAGGGCGTTCGGAGAGTCCAAATGAGGGTGCTAGGTGGTGGCCGTGATGTTGGAGAGTAAGGGGAGATACAGAAATGTTAGAGATGTATCCTTTTCAAATGGGAAAATGGGTTTTCCACGTCGGTTGAGGGTATAACCGACGTCGAAAGCCTACTTTCCACATCGAGCATGCTAAAACGACGTAGAATGTGTCAGAATTCAACTTTCAACATCGGTTGTTCACCAACCGACGTTGAAAGTGTATTCAACGTCGGCTCAAATTTAACCGACGTTAAACAGTGACGTTGAAAGTATATTTTGTAGTAGTGTAGATTCAAGGAGTTATTGATGGCTGACTTTGAGATGACTGATCTTGGAAGATTAAAATACTTCCTTGGAATGGAGTTTGTTGTAGTAAAGGAGTAATCTTATATCAGAAAAGGTAAGCAACTCTACATGGAGAATTGCAATCCAACTGTAATATCAGTTGAGACAAAGGTTCCAATGATTGAAGGTGATGAAGAAGAGGCTGACAGTGTAATAGTAGACTTATATTGCGTTTTCTGTTGAAGTTTTGAGTAGATTTACGCATCAGCCAAGGAAGAAGCATGTGCTAGTTGTAAAATGGGTACCTGCGATACATTAAAGGGACTATTGATTTTGGAATTCTATTTCCTAAATCAGATCAGATGTAGGGAAAACTACTGGGTTTTTCTTATGCAGATTGGTGTGGTGATAGCAAGGAGTACTATGGGATACTTGTTCAAGTTCATGGGTGCACCAATTTCTTGGTGTAGCAAGAAGTAACCTGTTGTTGCTTTATCCACATGTGAAGCAGAGTATATAACAGGTTCAAATGTTGCATGCCAAGCAGTTTGGCTTGATTCACTCATGACAGAAATAAGGGTGTAGATTGAAAGGCATATCCAACTGTATGTTATAATAAATCAGCCATAAATTTGGTAAATAATCCTGTGTCTCATGGAAAGAGTAAGCACATTGAGACCATGTTTCATTTTTTTAGGGAGCAAGTAAATAATGGGATATTGAAGGTAGTTTACTGTCCTACTCAACATCAAGTGACTGACATTTTTACCAAACATTTGAAGGAGAGGTTTGAAATGTTAAGGGTTGAACTAGGTGTTGTTAGTTTGAAAAATTGAATTAAGAAGGAATGTTGTATTTTGTTATAATTCAGTTTCTGGCTTAGTGTTGTTACAGTTCTTCTGTTTTGGTGGTTAACTCTATATATAAGGGTTATCTCTTTTTGTTGTATTTAATACTTTTTTATATAACACTTTACGTAAATATACAAACACGTTGTATGCATATAACATTTCTTAATTTTTCTCTACTCTCCAACAGTTTCAATGTTTCTTGCATTTCCTACATCTCTTGAATAAAAATTATATTCATAATAACATATCAGAATATTCCAGTGTTCATAAGATGAACTTGGGCTTTGCTGAACCATATATGTTAACTTATTGGCACAAGATGGTATGTGAAGACCCTCTTTCTCCTTACACTCTCCCTAATTGTAATTGCACTCCCCTTTTTCTCCTTTTGAAAATTAATTTAAATAAATAAATTTTCATTCTCCTTTTCAAACATTCTCTTTCATTGTACCCACCTTCCTATGTATCTCTTCAACGTCCAAGATGATAGAATTAATTAAAATAGTGTTCAACCCATTGCAGAACACTTCAAGCAACAAACATATTACTGAATACTTGACATTGTTAATTCTACCCAACATATTCTAATATATATATATATATACGGAAATTTAAATCTTTAGAGCAAATAATCTATTTTATAAGATATTACAGTTTGAAGTATTTTGTAATTGATGGAATGAATGTCTCAAAACAAACTAGATAGAAGAAAATGATACTCTAATGATTTACTCATTTAAATAATAATAATAATAATAATAATAATAATAATAATAATAATAATAATAATATAATAATAATAATAATAATACACATATGTTTTTTCCTCACATAAACATCAACAATTCATAATATCCATCTTTTCAGTACAAACTATAATCTAAATTGAGAGGTATGGAATGTTACTGTCCTTTCTCGAATTTTTCAACAATTGAATTCATTTCATTTTTTTCTGGGAGATTATTCCTTTTCCTATTTTGACATCTCATGCTTCAAACCTATAATTATAAATAATAATAATTATTATTATAAAATAATAAATAATAGTATTATAATAATATGTTAAGTTGATGGACGATGAGTGATATCAAAATATCATTTCTCTTTTATATATTAGGTTAATCTAAGATCAGATTCTTTCTATGATTTAGAATTTTAGTCTAGTTATTCTATTGTCTTATTTTAAGAGAAAAAGAATTCTTTTACTCTAAAAATAAAAGTGAAATTATAAAAAAAAGAATAATAAGAGTAAAAAAGTATTATATAAAATATAAAATTATAATAATTTGAATAATTTAAAATATGTGAATTGAATTAAACCAAAGCAAACATAAATGATATAAAAAGAGGAAGGGCCTTTTATTGGTAGTAGCAAGTGACTACTAGATTTACGGCCAGGGGATATAAAAATCATAGAAATGATGTACAAAGTATGGGAATCAATAATGAAAGACGTAAAGGTTGTACTCCACAATGGCAACCCCTGTATCGTCATCAAGAATAATCTTCTTGAGATAAGCTTGGCCACGTGCGAGCTTGAAAACCCCAGTCCCCCCAACAATTGGCAATTCCCTTTTCTTGTGGAATATCGGGTTCCGACCCAACATACTCACACTGCTGCCACTGAATTCCCCTTCCGTGAACACCAAGTTCAAGAGCATGAATAGCGAAATCTCGCTCCGGTCTGAAAACCCGTACAGTCCTTGTGCCTTTCCGACCACCTTCGACCGGATGTCGCGCCCAATGGTCAATGGGTCGTCGGCTATAACCAGGAATCCGAAACGCGTGGGGGAAGCGTTGGACGTTTTGGCCTGCGCAACTGACTCTGCGGTGACATTGGCTCCCCTTGCAACGTCGTGAAAAAAGAAGTGAAGGTGTAGCAGCTTCTCCTTTTTCAGACCCAGAGATTTTGGAGATATATATTCAGAGAAATTGCAGTTTTCTGCTGCTGTGACTGAGGAGAAGAGGAGCGTGAGGGTCATGAACCAAAAACCCATTGAAGGTGGTATTGAAAGGATACGTAAGGATTGAGAAATGTAAAAGTTCAGGGAAAATAGAATGCCCTAAGGCTATATATATATATTATAGGGTTCAGCACGCCAAAAAAAAAAATTAAGGAAACGCTAAAAAAAATAACAAAATGAATAACGAAAGTTGAAGGAAAAAAATGTTTTTTTTTTAATTATCAATACGAATAGTGTAATATTGGTTTGACAATAATTTTAGTGATAATATATCCTATGACGGTGAGACGTAGGACGAATTTTTTCAAGTTCAGTTCGTGCCAAGGAAGAGCGTTTGCGCTTTACTTAGTTCGATTTTTTATAAAATAATCTTTTAAATTAAATGTAAAAATTAAATATGATTTGATTTTGTTAATTTAATTTAAATTAAATTAAATTAATGTTTACAATTTGATTTCTATCAGTTTTATAATAAAACGGTCACATTTTTGTTTTACTCGTGTCACTTCATAATCTTGAGATATATCATGTTTAAAATTACACTTTCCCACCAAAAGGAACTTTTTCTAATGCGACTCTTTTTTTTTTTCATCCCGTTGCATGTCATTTTTCAATCCGATCTAAACATAACGTTACTAACACTACTACAAAATATACTTTCTACGTTGTCATTTAACGTCGGTTATAACTGAGACGACGTAGAAAGTACTTTCCACGTCGGTTCCAGATGAACCGACGTTGAAAGTTGAATATTAAACACATTCTACGTCGGTTCTTAGTCAATCGACGTAGAAAGTACTTTTTACGTCGGTTCCCATATGAACCGACGTTGAAAGTCTTTTTTTTTTTTTTTTAGTTATTGACACTTTCCACGTCGGTTCCCATATGAACCGACGTGGAAAGTCGTTTTTTTTGTTTTTTTCACTCAAAAATTCAATTAAATTGTCACTGCTAGGATTCGAACTCAAGATTTTAGAATTGGAAACTAATACTCTAACAACTAAACTATTATAATTTCCTGATAATAACTTACAAATAAATTATATTTAAATATATATTTATTTGTATATATTTTTTGGAAAGTATTTTTATTTTTTTCAACCAAAAATTCACTTAAGTTAATGAATTGTCACTCGACAAGCATTTGAACCCAGTATTTTAGGGTTGTAAGTTAATATCCCAACTACTAAACTACTACAATTTTTTTATAATAACTTACAAATAAATTATATTGGTATTTTTTGACCGAGGGTGAAAGTGTGATTGACTCTCGCTTGAGTGAAAATATGTTAAAGCTCACAGAAATTCACTCACTCAAGTCTCGCTTGAGCGAAAATTGGTATTTTTCGCTTGAGAGCGAATAACGCGTTTCCCAAATTTATTTTATATTATTATATAAATAAAATTATAAAGATTATATTATGTCATTAAATTACAAACTCATATAAAGATACCTGCTCACAAATTTAGCATCAAATTTTGAAAACCTACTCGACACACACTTTCACTTTCGAGTGTACCCTCACATTCAACATATAAATATATAACTATATAAATATATCAAAATATATAAATATATTTGTATTTATATATTTATATATTTACACTGGTATATATTTATTTGTATATAAATATAATTTATTTGTAAGTTATTATCAAAAAATTCCAGTAGTTTAGTGGTTGGAGTATCGACCTCCAACTCTAAAGTACTCGAGTTCAAATCCTGTCAATGACAATTCTCTTAAAAAATTAATAAACTTCTAAAAAATATAATATAAAGAGATGGAGGACCTAATAAAAATATAATATAAAGAAAGGGGAGACTTTTAATTAAATAAAGGGGGTAAAGGGGTTGTAAATAAATAAAAATTATTAATTTAAAAAATTATACTTTCAACGTCTGGTTCTAATAAACCGACATTAAAAGTCCAGTAACTTTCAACGTCTGGTGACGTTGAAGCGCTTTATTTGAAGTAGTGTAATCCCATCACCTAGCTCGAGAAGAGTGAGAGATTGTATATCATTCAATGTTTTTAAAACCCAACCGCAGAAAATATGAGCTAGGGTTTAAAAGGTTTAATCGGATCTAGTTAGATAAAAATATATATATTATATCTTTTATAAAAAAATATTAAAAAAATTGATCTTAAATTTTGTTTTTATGTTTAAAAAAAATTTCACTAAATTTTGCTGATTTTATCTATTGTTTTCAATTTTATCTCCAGTGAAAACGACAGAATAATTTCTATACCAATTTTCAATTAAATCGATTGAACGGTTGGCGGATCCAATTTTCAAAACAATAACATTATATTATCTACATGTTATAGGTCCAAAAGTCTCATAAGCCCGAGAAAGACAAAATATGTATAGTTAAGTTGAATTGGGTTTGTTTTAATCTAAATTTTTTATTTTAAACTTGAGATTGAAACTGTCATATGATAAATCACATGGATTCCAAATCTCAGGTTTTGATGAAAAATTTACAATTTACAACTAAAATATAAAGCAAAATTTAGAATTTTAAAACCTATCTTATACCTTCTTTATTATCGTAGAAACGAAGAAGTGTATAATTTTAACCCTAATTATTTTTTTCTAATAATTTGTTCAAATACTACAAGAAAATAATTAATTATCGATAGATATGTAGTCGTTAAAAAATAGTAATTTCTAATAAAAATTATAGAGTGATTATCAATGAATATAGTCTGTCATTAACAATTAGTTATCGACGGATATATTCATCAATGAATTAACCATTAGTTACCAACGAATATATCCATCGATAAATATTAAAATATATAAATATATCAAAATATATAAATATATTTATATTTATATATTTACACTGATATACATTTACTTATATATAATATGATTTATTTGTAAGTTATCATTTAAAAATTATAATTGTTTAATGATTGGAGTATCAACCTCCAGTTCTAAGATACTAGATTCAAATCTTGTGAATGATAATTCTCTTAATTTGATAATAATGGGAACTTTATATAAATATAAATAAATAATTTACCGATAACACAATTTTTTATGAATCTCTGTCGATAATATCTATTTACTGACGGATTTTGTCCGTCCAAAAATTTAATTTTTTTATAAAAAGATGAATAAAAACAGTACAACCACCTGCAAATGTTTTTATTCCTTTGGTGTCTCTTTACACGCACAGATAGTTACTTGGCAAAGCAAGTGATTAACATCCCTTTGGTTTTACATTGCGTACGGAAAGATGCTTCCGTTGCGCCAAAGGTCGTCATTTAACAGCTTATTACATGAAAATGCATCTCAAAAAACAGCTCATTCACAAACATTCTTACACATCAATTAACCTCTTCATCACGTTTATATTCCCTTCATAATCATCTCTTTCTCCTTCTCCATTATTGCATTTCAATTTTCTACTTTTCAACATACCTAAAAAAATCATAAATCTTAAATTTAAATACTCCTGTGGTGTCAAAATCACAATATCACAATCTCATTTTAGAAACAATCAAATAATGGAGAAAACTTGCACAAGTCTTCTCCCAAAACAATGTTGTGAACATATCATAAATTTCTAGTCATGATGCCAATAGATACATTACTTACCTCGTAAACCCTAAAGAGTAAATGTTAGTAGTTTTGTCTTGTTTTTTCAATTGTCTTTTGTGAACCATGACTTATTTATTATGGCACCACATAAATTTAATGTGCATCACCTCGCAACAATTGACTCTTGAGAACCGTGACAATTTTTTCTTTTACGACCCTTGAGAGTTGAGAAGAGATGGGATCATTTATCCAATTTTGTGCATCTACATCTTGTGATAACATATATTGAGATTATTTTTGAAAAGAATTGAATCTAAATTGAACTGGTATGCATTTCAAGTCACGATTTTACTAAAAAAATTAGATCGGAATATTATATATATGGTTGTATTTGTACATTATAAATACATTCACATGTATACAAAATATATTTTGTGCAATAAATTTATGCTCATTTGTTCAAATATATTGAATAAAGAATAACTACACACACTCTATTTTAGTTATATACAAATAAAGTCCACACTCACGACATTCACATTTTATACGTAAAGCCTTTTTTTATTCAAACATTAATTAAGTTTCATAATTTTTCTTTACGTAAATTTAATAATTTTATCAATAATTTTTGAAAAACTAGTTCATAAAAATGAATACGGCACCTGCATAAAAATAAAATCTTTAAAACGAAACTTAAAGAAAATCTAGATGATATATATCGAAAATCTTTTTCATATCTTCAACACGACATAATAAAAAAGAAGCAACATAAATTGTCAAAGAATCATTCCTGAAATCGTATTTTAATGTCCTGTTAATCTCTAAATGTAAGAAAAGCTCAACTAAAATTTTAATTATTTATTTTCATTTAAATATCTAAAATTATCATTTTTTTTTTGTCGTGTTGGTTCTTAAAAGTATTTTATTATTATCACTTTAGTTTCCATACTGGAGTCAAAAAATAACAAAAATAGATTAATTTAAAAGACTCAAATAATAAATAAATAAACAATATCGGAGATTTCTTAATTTTTCGAACTAAAATGGTAGTAAGGTACAATTTTTAAGACTAAAATGACCATTGATTTTATTTAATAAAAAATGAAAGTTTTAAGAGTATAAAAATCAAAGACACTATCAGAGGAAAAGAAAGGGTTGAGTTTGAGATTTTTACTTGAACTAGAAATATCGTACTTAAAAAGAGGTTAAACAAGTTGTTTAGATTATTACGAATATAAATATCGTGAACTAATACGATGTGTTGAGATAAAAAGGGAAATAAAATTCTGCCGTTGATGTACTAAAAAGATATACAAGTTAACTGTTTATTTTAAATCCTCGAATGAAGGCAAGACCTATAGAAGCATGCATTATTTGTATTGGTTTGTTATGAATTGGTAGTGGCTCATGCATTTGGAATCCAATATTACCAAAATTGGTTCAGAGTCAGAATTAAGAAAAAGGAAGCTTGAGAAGGATGGTTACATAGGTCAGTTGTTTCTTCAACGCTTAAAAGAAATTTACTACAATAGTGATTGGCACTTGGAAAAACTTTCCACAAAAATACATGAGAGATCATGAAAATGCTTCAGAGTGGCGTGTTCGTAGGGAGATTAATTAGTTGTCTAAACAATAACACCAAGACTTTTGTATTGAGGAGTTGGAAATTGTTAGATGATGATGATGATGATGATGATTTTGGTGTAGCAAGGCATAAACCTTAATAATGCTTTTATGGAGTACAAATTCAATAATTAAGTGTGTGCAATAAGTATTCCGTTTGCCTTTCTAACATTCTCCTTATAAAAAATTCCTCCTCGAGCAGCGCCAGAGAATAATGCTACATGCACTCCTCCAATTAGGGCCCTGTAACTCCATTTAAGATGTATTTATTCATCAACAAGTGTGTGTTGTGATGTGAACCAGCGTGCCACTTTTTTTATTGCTCCAAATTGCACATTAAAGTTCATAGAACAACCTGTTTGACGTTGATATTTATACGACAATTGCGTCCGCATTACAAAAAAGAAAAGCAAAAAATTACGTGAAGAAAGTCGTAAATCATACTTGGATCAATTACATCCCCGGAAAATGTTTTTCTTTTCTAATTTTTTCAAATAAAGTGATTGGCTTGTATGGCATGGCATCAAGTTTCCACAGTGCACTTTACAAGTCAACTTATTCTAATGAATCAATTTCGTCCTAATTAGGCTTTAAATCAAACCATCTTTTCCATATTTTCCTAGGAATCTATTGCGTTTTGCAAACCATATTCAAAGAGCAGAAAAATATTCTTGTGGGAAAAAGAAAATCGCTGTCCACTATCCAGGATTTTAGGTATCTTGTAGCCATTGGTGTAACCTTCACACAATATGCGGTGAGGGATTTGCCACATTCGTCCAATTAATCATCCAATGACTCATATTTTATCTCCATCAATCTAACTCAGTATGTATTTATGAATGTGAATGGTATGATCTTGATTCAACGGTGTTGATTCATGACTTCCATGTGCAGTTGACCCCATTGTCAAGCTTTGTCTGGTACTGTGCGTTAATTGATTCTTCGTCAAGGACCATACCCCACTTCAAAGCGTGTGCCGATGTTGCCAAGAAATTTCTAGCAAACTTTTGGAAACGCTCTCTCTAATCTATAGACTTTTTGGCATGCAAGATGCGTGGCTATCATCACTCACTTAACGGTTAAGGACTTCAACCTTAAGGGTCTTTATCTCTCTTTCAATCTCCTTAATCTCATTCACATCAAATTTGGAAAAACAAAATGCCCATTAAGCATTCTGCTACAGTCAAGATCTAAACCTAAAGCTAAGCAAATTATCAACACTTTATCATTACCTCACCCTTACTCTTAATAGCTTCTTTTTATATATATAATACTGTTAATTATCTAATTAGAGTACTCTTCCTCAAACTGCATTGAGTAATCAATTGACAAACTGAATACTGTATTCTGTAAATTATGATGAGAAAATGGAGAAAGACGATGACAAATGTGAGTCTAAGCTCTAAAACACATTTTGCTCATTCATTAATTCACCGTTGTTCTGTACATGTATTGGGACAAAACTTCGAAGGGAAAAACGCAAAAGGGACCAAAAACCCTGACCTTTTTTTTCTTTCTTTGTGTATTCATTCATCATCTCTTACATAACTCTCTTCATTCTAAGCCTTTTATTATTACTATTTTATATTTATTTATTTTAACTAGAAACTTCTTCCAAAAGCTTGTACCTTCTGACCTTATTCTTGAAGACCTGTTTGGTGGCACCACTCGAATTTGCGATGTCTTCTGACCTGGTCCTCCTCAGTCTCTCTTCCAAGGCACCGTTGGTGACTATTCTCTTGCGGGTAGAAACCAGAACCGGTGAAGATTTTGGGGGGGATGTGGATGCTGATGGCGATCTTGATGACTCTGGTGACTTTGGTTTCTTAATGGATTTCTGAATTTGGAGATGAAGGATACCACTCCCTTTCACTCCCTTCTTCACTCCAATGTTTTGAGCACTGTTGTTGCTACCATTCCTGATTCTCTTCATCCTGCTCTCATCATCGTTGTTCCTAATTGACGAGGAAGAATTCGAAGAATTGGTTGACTTCTCTTTGGTGTCCTCTCTCTGACTCAAACACCAATTGCAGGTTCCAAGAGACTCTGGCTTGGGGTACAGGTTGCTGCAGTATCTGCCAAATTTGACAAACATGAGGGTTAATTTTGAAACAACCAAATTCACACCATACCCAAATGAAAAACTAGTTATCCATGATTCAACCATACAAAAAGGGTCTAATCTAAAAGGCTAGTTTTTTTAACATCTCAAATCAAAATTCAAACTTTTGATACAAGAAGTGTCTTAATTTAGTACGTGAGAGTGTTTCGAACGTTATAAAACCATATTAGAGGAGGAAAACGAAAGAAAGAAAATATTGTTCAGAACATATGTACCTACCTGTGCTGAGATCTGAATTGGCAGACTTTGCATTGAAAAAGCTGATCAGAGAAGCCAAGATCCCCACACATACAACACTCTGTGTTGGGTTCAGAGTGAGATGTTCCTTTGGTTGTCATGTTTTGGTGTTTCTCATTGAGAGAGAAGGGTTAAAAAGAGAGAAGAGATTGATAATTGAGGAATGAATGAATGAATAGCTATGGGTGTATGGCCACACAAGAAAAAGGCGAGGAGACCCACAAATGACAAAACTAAGTCCATATAAATAAAACACATGGACTTAGTTTCCGTGTGACCGTGTTTGTGAAGCTTGGTGTGTTGTGTTGTATTTATATGTATATTTAAATGCAGCAATTTCGTGTTGAGGTAGGAAAGGAAAAATAATAAATAATAGAGGCTGTTTGAGGAATGGGAAGGGGATAGGGACATTCTTTCCGAGCTAGCTAGCCTTTAAAAAATAAAAATGTAATTTTGAAATTGATTGATTTATGGGTTGGTCCTGTTCGACCCCATGAATATGATATTGGAAAAGGGGGGTCATGGTCATGGCCTTAGAACCTCTCCTGGCCTAGTCATAGACTCGTGAGGGAATGGTAGACCAAGAGTTATAATGCCAAAATGGAACATTGCTTGGTTAGGCCTAAAAGGCTAAGCACAATTAAGAGGAACCTTATCTAAGACAATCAACTCATCACGCTTTCCATATCCACGTTCAGAGAACTACATAATTTCTGAACTTTTTTTTTTTTTTTCTACATGTTTTTGTTATACAGAGATGCCAAGAGAAACATATGATGAGAAAAAAAGTTATCACAACACTGACGTAGAAATGTGTGCAAGAATAAATTTAGTATTACCCCACAATTTTTAATCTTTATTACATTATAGTTTTAGTTATTGTTTTTCTCACTTTTCATCACATGTTACCGCGACAAAAGGAGCACACAAAATAGAGGTCGAAACAAAATACTTGGGAACAAGTACAAGAGGTATCACAACCTTTTTTTTAAAGCTGCTCTTCCTTTTTATATACATTAAGGATTCCTTTAAAAATTAGGAAAATAGAATAAGAACAATCACGTTACTCCGACCTATTTTTATCCTTACATTTAATATTATAATTTGAAGAACTTATTCCGTTACATTACTCTCTTATTATCCTAATTTTATTGAGTTATTATGTCAAATTAGGATAAGATGGTTTTGGGTTTAATTGCTCAATTTATATTTATATAAATATATCAAAAATAATCTCTTTTAGTAGTTGAATTTTTTTATTCTTGTGAATTTTAGACTAAAGGATATTAAAATAATGTTTTTTTAATAAAAACTAACAAGTAAAATTTATACAGCTATAAAGATTAAATAAATATTTAAACCTAAAATTTTCAATCAACCTTACTTAATAGAAATTCATCCTAACGTTGATGTTATTATAACATAACGTTGTTGTTGTAAGGTGTTATTATTATCAAAGACGGAAAGATTATATTTTAGGGTATGTTTTGATAAAATTTATTTAATAAAAATTTAAAATTATTTTTTTTATAAATGAAAATTAAATTTTGATATATAACTTTATTCTTAAAAGTTCTTACCCATGTTTCTTTAGTTTTTATTTTAACTTGTTCATAAATTTATTTTAGTGACAAAATGAATTAGATCAAACGAATAAATCTGTCAATCAGCCTAAAAAATGTGGGACAGGTTGGTGTTTTTAGCCTGCTAACCCGTTTTGTCCCGTTTTATTTGTTAGGTAATCCAAGTCTTTCTGTTAGAGTGATCTTTGTATCAAAAATCTTCCTGACAGAGTGGATCAGGTAAGTGTATTTGATAACAGCATTTCGGTCGCACAAAATACTAATCAAAAATAATAAACAAGTTGTTAAATTAATGCAGTATAGCTAACTCTTGTCGAATCTCACAATGACACAATTATAGGAATGTGCTCATTACCATATATTATTCTCTCTAAAAGAGTAATAAAGTATGAATGAAAGAGTGAAAGAGAAATAAATTGATGGAGAATTTAAATAACTGAAATTTATAAAATTAAAATTGCAAGAATCAAGAATTGCTTTAAAATAAAATAGAGCAGTAATTAAATTTGAAAAGAAAAGGGATTTGTGTAATAATAAATAGTAAATTAATGAAAATAGAATTTAAATAAAACAATGAGAAAACAATTGATTTCCTGATTCGAATGCAGTGTTCCTTATCCTAGGTTAAGGAATTAAATTGTTTTAACCCTTATTCCAACCCGAAATTAACCAACTAAGCAAAGATTAACCCAAATTATTCTTATACAATTAAACATTGCATATATCACATAATCTCATTTCTAACACAAGATTAAGCAAACGGTGATATTGGTTTCGGTTTATTAAGCATAAACAGATTATAATTCAACATTGAGATTAGGAGATGAAGAGTTAAGAAAACAAACAGAATAGAAAAACAAAACCTCAAAGATTTACTGTATTCTCCTCATAAAATCAATACAAAGATTTAGCTATCCATGGAAAATCGAAAACGCAGAAGAAGAGACATAATTAAAATTGAAACAATAATTTAAAATAATGATAAAAAAGTAAACAAAGTTGAATATAAAATGCAGAAGATGAAAATGACGTTCGGAGGATGCGGCTGCGTAACGTGCGTCTCCGTGATGTGCCTCCACGTGATGTGCCTCCTTTAACCCTATGTGATCACTAACATAAATAACCTTAAACCCTAGTCTTAATCTAGGTTTGGTCCTAACTAGTACATAAAACACATCAAAAACAAATAAGATAAAAACCCTAATCCTAATGGACAGCGGGCATGACATCTGGCCTAATCTTCCAAGCCCAAAATTGTTTTAAATTGTCCTGAAAATAATAATGAGCAAAAATTAGATCAAATAGATTCAAATTAATTAAAATCTGAATTACTGGCCCAATGAAGCCCAATTAATAAAAATTCACTAATAACAGACTGTTAAGCCCAAAATGTTAATTAAAATAAGTACACAAATGTAAGAAAATATGGGAATATAATGACTCATCAAACTACCCCACACTTAGCATTTTGCACTCCTGGGCAAAATCAAGAAGCAAAGCAAGAAAATAAATCCAAAAACATTAAAGAAACTCATGCAAAGGACAGAAGAAATAAATAAACAGATTTACATACTCCTCAATGAAACCTGGAAAACGAAAGGAATAGACAACCTCCAACACTCAAAGAGTCAAAGAAACCAGATATCTATAGACATCGTCCAAACAATTCAAAACATGTCAAAAAAATCAATCTGCTCAATAGATGAATGAAAAGCAACAGAACCTCACAACATATGCATTGTACTACTCAAGTGTTTAGGTTACTATTTACTCTCAAAGCACCCATGAAAAACTAACACCTCCAAATCAATAGGCATAACACACAAGAAAGAAAGAATAGAGAGTGACTCAAAGCCTCACACAGGGTAAATCTGTCACTTCCAAATCAACCTCTCAAACCTCAAAATCAACTTGACATGCAAAGAAGAAAATGGATTTCAATCCATAGAATATCAAGCAACTTATATCCAAGAGTGAAGTAAGTGCCTACTACCTATACAAAATCCATAAATCAAAGAAAAATATGTAAAATTGTACACAAAACATAGAATATAAACCTACATCTCCCACCCCACACTTAAATTAGACATTATCCTCAATGCAAACACAATCATATCCACTAAACAAATAAGACAAGCAAGATAAAAGAGTTGAAGGGGAAAGAAGAACTCACTGATCATGGTGGGTCTCAGATCTATCTCCTCAGATGGTATAGGTGTTGAGGTCATCAAGTAGCAACTTTGTTCAACTAAAACAAACAAAGTCTTCTTCTACATTAAGCTAGAAAGAGGCAATGTCACCTTCTTGAAGTCTCGAATGATTCTCTAATAAAAATATGTCAATATCTGAATCGTTTGATTTACGAATGGAAGGGGAAAGTGATCCTTCCGCATATCAATTATCTCACTCCTTTTTGGAACAACTTGGATAGTAGATACCCAAGTATTGTCTGAGATGGGACATATGATGTCGGTCTTCAATAGCTTGGTTACCTCCTTTTTCACCTCATCAAGGATGGTAGGATTCATCTTTTGTTGGGGCTTCCTCACAGGTCTGCAATCATCTTCCAACAAGATTTTGTGCATGCAAATAATAGGGTTGATCTTAGTGAGGACATCTAAGGACCAACCGAATGCTTTCTTGCGCTCTTTTAACACCTTCAACAATCTTCCTTCTTTATCAGGGAGGAGATCACTAGATATGATCATAGGTAGCTTTTCAGACTCCTTTACATAAGTATACTTTGAATGGGATGGAAGTGGTTTCAGATCTAACTCTTCTGGTTGTTGATGTGGTGTACTTAGTTCACTTGCTTTAGCATCTGTCTGCGCTCCTACAAAAGATTCAATATTATCATTAATCTTCTTACAGATGACACAACTTCCATCCGTACAATCACATTCAGGCAACTTTTGTCTTAAATTCAAATATTCTAAGGGCTTATCAAGGTCAAAATTAACTCCTACATCCAGTTCTTCATCCTCTCGGCCTTCATCTAAGCAGGCGTCTGTTAATAATAACTCTCCCTCACCGAGCAAAGATGTGTTAGGGTTCTTCTGCTTTATTTGAACTTCTTCGTCACTTCTCAAAGTAATTGCACGTACATTCTCATTAGTATTAATCACTATTTGTGAGGGAAGTGCATTCACACCTTGTTGTTGTAGTGAATTCATGGTAGTGACCACTTTCCCAACTTGGGTTTCCAAGTCATTGAAGCATTGCTCTAGTTGTGTGTTCTGCGTTATCATCTGTTGTGTGAGTTGCTTCATTAGATCTTTTGGTGTAGGCCTAGAGTTACCCTGTTGCATAATACCACTTGGGCTTTGATGTATTGGCATAAGGTTTCGATTTGCCTGTTGTCCCAATGAGGGAGGTTAATAATCTTGTTGTTGGTAAATGTCTTGGTTGATTGATTGAAAATGCATCTTTGGTGGCTGGTTGAAGATAGGATCATATTTCAAGTTTGGATGGTCTCTCCAGCCAGAATTATATGTGCCCAAGTATGGGTAGTACTCCTG